AAGACTACAAACTGAAAGTCCTGAAAACTTTCAGTGTGCATTTGTTGATCTAGTGGGGGAGCTGTGGCCCTCAAGGTGTCATTGGACTTCAACTCCCATCATTCCTCACCATTGACCATGCTGGCTGCAGTTGATGGTAGCTGGAGTTCACCAACATCAGGCGGTCACCAGAAGAGATTGCCTTCATATCCTACATTGTTAAATAAATAAAAAATAAACAGCACAGGCAATATTTGAAAAATCTACAATTGTTTTTTATGATAGTTGTAAACAAAGAAAACTCAAGAAAGACTATATTTGAGGTGTTGGGAATAGCTCTGTGTGTGTGAGAGAGAGAGAGAGAAGGAAGGAAGGAAGGAAGGAAGGAAGGAAGGAAGGAAGGAAGGAAGGAAGGAAGGGATAGCGAGAGAGAGACAGAGAAAGAGAAGGAAGGGAGGGGAGAGAGAGAGAGAGAGAAGGAGAGAGAGAAGGAAAGAGAGCACTTTATAGGTAGCTAGTACTAAAATATTTTAGTACAATAACATTATTCATATATTCTAGTATTTCTTATTAATACTAAATTTATTACTCATGCTTCACCAACAGGTCCCAGGACAGGTTACAACAATTTAAAATTCAGAATTAAAAACAGCTAAAACAGATTCAGAGAACTGTACAGTTGGAAGGGGCCACAAGGGACATCTAGTTCACCCCCTCTGCACTGCAGGAATATTTTGCCCAATGTGGGGCTCAAACCCATGACCCTGAGATTAAGTGTCTCAGGCTCTACTGACTGAGCTGTCCCAGAGGATTGCACTCACAGGAACAGGGTGATCCCTGAAAACACACATCACATGTCAAAGACCAGGGTAAGGATGTGCATCTTCGGCATTTGCTGAAAGCTGTATGGTAAAAAAACCAGATGCATCTCAGTTGAAAGAAGCAGAAAGATAATATTCCCTTGGTTGTTAGGAAATGATTTCAACTGTTAAGCAAGCCTTTTCCTGATGAACTGAAACACACATGTCCATAAGTAGAGGGGGCGGTGTAGTCATTGCATGATCAATCTCATTTGTTATTATATATTTTTGATCCTGAATATGAAGAGGGGCACTTGAGTCAGATGATTAATGGGCCAATTCTAATGACAAGTGTGAAGGCTGAGGCTGTCAATCCCTGGATGGTGCTTGATGCATTTGCCCACCCTGAATTTCCAATGCTGATGAGATATCAAGAGAGGACACACTGTGTGTAACTGAATGTAAAATGGAGCAATGAATTAGCCAGGAAGAAAAGAGAAAGAGAGAGACAAGGGACTTTCACTATTAGATTCATGCTTCCCGGTGCCTTTATATTTAAAGGGCCTGTCAGTCACATTTATTACAAGCCTCTTTTTTATGTGCTTTCTTGTGTCGGTAATAATAAGAACAATAACAACATAATCATTCTTAGGGAAAACTTTTTAACCTAGGCTTTTGAAAAGACCCCCCCCCCCCCAGTAATTTATGTGATTTATAGTATGATGCTGTGGCACTGCTTCAACTGCAGGACAAGGAAAGACTAACAGCTAAAGAAGGAAGTGGGCAGCACTCATGCCTCTCTTCCTCACTGGACCTAAAACCACTGCTATTATTATGCAATGTTGCATTTAAGTTCCTTGTTGAGCCTGCCCAAAGGTCTATAAGCAGGATATGGCACCATGCCCACCATCCATAGTTTTCTCAGCATCTCTTCTCAAGCCACCATCCTATCATGTGCTTGCAGAGCCACAACTTCTCCACAAAACTTCAGCACTAACAGAGGCTAGTTTGTTAAGGCAAATGGGGTACTGCACCACCAACTGCCCCCCTTTTTACTTATAACCAGTCCAGGGCATGGCATTGCCTGTTAGTTTCATCCTCCATAGTCTCAGTGTGGCCCAGCAGGGAGGAGGACAGGGACAAAAGTAGAATTAGTGAGTTTTGCCTCTTATTGGCTTTTGTTCCATTGGCGGTTGATCTTCCTACCTACCGACCCCAGGGGCATGAGTCATCTCTGCACTACACTGCACCATCCCAGTAAGCTTCAGTGACATAACTATTGGAAGAGTCTGGGATAATAAAATATAAATACATTGTGCTCATGCCTCCATGAATTGACTATATACAAATCCCAAATAACTTGGAAGGGCTTATATGTCCACATATAAATAGTAATTTCTTCTTCTTCTTCTTCTTCTTCTTCTTCTTCTTCTTCTTCTTCGCCAGCTGCACACTCACCAGCCATTATTCAGTCTCACTTACAGACTCTCATATAGTGTCTGGAGCATCACTGAACACCTGATAATCAAAAGTCTGAGGACATTCCAGCCCTTGCCTCTGTTACTCTCCAAAGTTTCACTGCCTCAAGAAGGCCAACTGTAGTCATAGGCCCTTTCCAGAAGATCTGCCCACATTGGCACTGGGTAAACAAACAAACCCGTGTTGCAAAATATGACTCAGCAATATCGAAAGCAACACGATGGCCAGAAACAATTACAGTATATAAAACTTTATGAAATAGTGCAAAACATCAAAACTATCAAACTGACCTCTCTGAAAGTTTTTGAATAAGTCATGGTGCCAGACTTTACCCAGCAGAGATCAAGCTTGTAAAGTTTTGTATAATCGGCAAATGTCCAATTCTGATGTCCAACTCTGAACTCTGCTGAACAGTGTTTCCGGATAGCAACTGCTCTTTCGTTCAGTTCTTCATCAACCAATTAGCCAACAAACACTAGTAAGTAGAAAGATGTGCAATTTCTTCATTAACTGAAAATAAAATATTCAAACGATGACCTGCACGTACATAACAATAACTTCAAATAGCGTGGAAATTATAAACTGTAACATACAAAGGTTACATACCCAATCTTTTTTTTTTTAATTGATATAATGTACATGAGAATGAAGAATACTCTGGAACAGTGCTCATGCGATTATGTAGTCACTGTTACTAACATTGTTTGAAAATTACATCAGGGATGGAGAACCTCAGGCTGATGGAAAAAATGTGATCCTCTGTCTAGCCCTTAGAACTCTTCCCAGGCCACATAATCTTCTAAGCCTTGCTTTATACTCTACATGTGTGTTTTTGCTTGGCTGGAATGAGCCCTTGAATTCTGCTTATGGTTCATGCTTTCTGTGATTGAGGATAAAGAGATGGGTGAGCATGAACAAACTAGTCAATTGTGATGAACACACTGTGCACAGATAAAATACACATTTATTGCTCTGATCACCTCTGTCTCTGGTCCTACCCACATGACCCCCAAAAGGTTGCCAAGAATGGAATGTGGTTCTCAGGTTGAAAAATGTTTCCTCACCCTTGAATAACATAGTACTCACTACCTGTCAAGGTAATTTGTGTTGGGATGGGGAATATGATTTAATCCTAAAGTCCCACATTTATGGGAAACTACAAAAGAAAGAAAGAAACTGCTGACTGCCTGAATTAAAAAAGCATACAGAGCTTGTCACACTAGCTACGCAAAAGAGTTTAAAACAGAAATATATGCAGTGTTTGCAAAGTGTGGGGCATATAGGTTTTTAGACCTTTAAGTGCCCCAGTATTAAGCACTCACAATTGTGCTCCCCCACCACTACTTCTCTTGGAGTGAATAGACTACAAACTTAGGTAAGTTTAAATGCTTTACTTACAGTAATCAGATGCTCATGCATCATTCAATCCTACAGCAGAAACAACACAGGTAAAGTGTTCTTGGTTCCAAATAAAGGAGCTGGTCTCAAACATACAGCCTGAGTTTGGAGCCCCAGTCTCAACCTCTCTTCAGTTACATGGTTCGAAGAGGAGAGAGGGAGAGAGAGGGAGGGAGGGAGGAACAGGAAACAACCCTAACTTCCTTCCTCCTTGAAGGTGAGGGGGCGCTAAGCACTCTCCAGAAATTTACCACTCTGTGGTTCTTGACCCCTTGATTTACTAGCATAGATATGCATTGTTTGGTTTGACTGCAAAATCTCCCACATTTTTGTACTTTACTTGAGGTGGAAAATCCCACAGCTTGTCTCTTTTCCTTCCTGGCAGTAAAAAGACAACTGAATAACCAACCATTTGTTGCCCTTTCATGACACCCAAAATCTCACTCTGCCTATTGGTAGGGCACCGGCCTGTACCACTTTGTAGTTGGTTTTTTATTGTAGCCTTTTATGACCAAACATATACTTTTAAGTCACCTGAGCGTTCTTTTTTGAGCAAAGAAATGCAGTGGCGAAAAGGTGCAGAAGATGAAAACAGCTGAAACAGGCAGTTAAATGTCAGCTAAACTTACTAACAGTGCAAAATATTTCAGCACTTCAAGTATTGTCTTGACAACAAGCTGTTAACATATCAAAAGGGTGTCAAAAAACGAGAACAGTTACCATTACAGTGAAGTCCCAGCAGACCTTAGATGGGCAATCCTGCAAGGAACTCATTCACTCAGAGCTCGACTTGAGGGTGACTGCTTTTTTTGGATTTAAGGCACAGTCTCAGTCTGACTTCGGTCAGAATTAAAATGCTTAGAATAGCAAATGTCACCTTTTGAATGTCAATTATCTTTTCCTTAGGGGAACACGCTTTTTTGGTGAAGGGATTCATGAGAGTGGGAGGAGATATTATCTTCCTTAAATTAATGCAGGAGTGAAGTCAAGAACATTGTAACTAAAGAGAGCAATGTAGGCAGAGAAAGGTAGGAGTCTAATGTGGGTATAAAGAGCTATTGAATCCCATGAGCCACAAGCATTTTTCTAAACAGACCATACCTATTGATAAACCAGGGATGAAGAACGTATGGACCTCCAGATGTTGCTAGACTACAGAAGCTATTTAGGGAGATTGGGATCAGACCAATTCCAGCTTGTTCTGTTTCAGTAATTTTTCTTTCAGAGTCTGTTCTGTCTGTCCCATTTCTGCAGAAATGCATACAACATTCTCATCTTCCTCCAAAGGAATTACTCGCTTTTAGGTTGCGGTCTAAGGGCTGGTAGCCCTACAATTAGCTACAGTCCAAAGCTAGCTCAGTTGGTAGAACATGAAGCTCTTAACCTCAGGGCTGTGGGTTTGAGCCCCATGTTGGAGAAAAGATTCTTGCATTGCAGGGGGTTGGACTAGATGATACTTATGGTCCCTTCCAGCTCTATGATTCTATGAAGTCAAAAGTTCATTAAAACAGAATGTCTCTGTGTTTTCATTTTTCTGGGGACTCCATATTTCAGTTACAATTAGGGCTGTTTTCTGATGAAAACACATATGGCTTAAGGTGCAGATGTCCTGATGGAAACGTTGACATATACATTTAAGACAACATATGGATAAGATTTTCCCAGTAGTGATGTATGGAAGTGAGAGCTGGCCCATAAAGAAGGCTGATCGCCGAAGAATTGAGGCTTTTGAATTATGGTGCTGGAGGAGACTCTTGAGAGTCCCATGGACTGCAAGAAGATCCAACCTATCCATTCTGAAGGAAATCAGCCCTGAGTGCTCACTGGAAGGACAGATCCTGAAGCTGAGGCTCCAATACTTTGGCACCTCATGAGAAGAGAAGACTCCCTGGAAAAGACCCTGATGTTGGGAAAGATGGAGGGCACAAGGAGAAGGTGACGACAGAGGATGAGATGGTTGGACAGTGTTCTCGAAGCTACCAGCATGAGTTTGACCAAACTGTGGGAGGCAGTGGCAGACAGGAGTGCCTGGCGTGCTCTGGTCCATGGGGTCACGAAGAGTCGGACACGACTAAATGACTAAACAACAATGGATAAGATAGAGTTTTCACTACTTTGTCAACCACATAACTCAAAAGGCCTCGAAGGTTCACGCACTTGCTACTTTTCAGACAATGATTAAGAATTTTCTGTTTCATAGAATCATAGCAAAGTAGACTTGGAAAGGATTGTGAGGGTCATCTAGTCCAACCCTCTGCAATGCAGGAATCTCAGCTACAGCATCCATGACAGATGGCCATCCAAACTCTGCTTAAAAACCTCCAAGGAAGGAGAATCCAAAACCTTCCGAGTCTGTTCCACTGTCAGCTCTCACAGCTCTCACTGTCAGAAAGTTCTTCCTGGTCTTTAGTTGGAATCTCTTTCTTGTAACTTGAATCTAATTGTTCGAGTTCTATGTCTTGATTTTTTTATTGGTAGCTACAGTTTTGCTCCTTTAAAGTTCTTTGCTTAATTTTCCCATAAGCTATCTTGAGAGTTTCTGTGCTGGTAGTAGGCAAGACATAAACGGTAAACAAATAGGTATAATGAAAATAGGTATAAATGGAAATAATGAGGTCCAAAACATGAGTTTGTATAGCTTGGACTTTAAAAACCTATGCATGTCTTCATCTGTCACTTATCTGGGAACAATGATATGCTTTAAAGTTGAGCTTTTAGTTTCCAGGGATAAGTATAGGGTAACTTTTTCAATCTTTATGGGTGTTGAAAGAAAAATCTTTAGAATTGCTGTTTCTTGCTGCAGTACTTTGGAACAGAGTATACTCAGTGTAAATACAACCAGTTACCACAATTAGGAATACCACAATACTGGACCTAAATGAATACTTAAATGAATTCCTTTGATTTTCATTGGGATTTATAAGAGAACACATGAGCTCAGGATTTATGGAACTACCTTTGGGAGTTTGTCAGCAAATATAGGGGTTGCATTAATCTGAAAAGTTCAAATCTTTGTTTAGGCTGTTTTTAATTCAAAAGCTTAATGCTTAAGACTCAAGATCCAAGACTGAATTTACTACTAAGTAGTGTAAGATGCTGGCTTTATACTAATGACTGTCAATTATTCTGTGCATTTTTTCAACCACAGAAAAGTGTGTGTGTAGGTATAAATAGGGTTGGGTGTTTTGTTTTTTTTTTGCAAGATCTGGTATTGAGTATTATTGTTTTGAAAAGCCTTTGCCTTTAATGTTGAACCCTGACTCAGCTTAGGGCATATTGTTCAGTTAGTTTCCTGTATTCCATATTCACAAGAGTATTGTGACATAGAATTAGCAAGTAAGGGGCAATGTTCAAACAGAGAAGTAGCTCAGTTAAATTTTCTACATTAAAGATAAACCAGAAAGGAATTCTGTTCACCAGATAATGATTTAATATAGGTCTGCTTATGTCTTCAGTTCATGAAATCAATACCGCAAACTCCTGGGTTTAGTTAATCAACAAATGGCTTTGTAATATGTAAAAGTGTGCTATAAGCATTATTTTGGGGTGAATACATGTTAATTAATGTGAATATCTTCAAGGACACCTTCTTCCCTTCTAAATATCATAACATCTAAGGCCTATTTTACCAATTATTCTCTTTCCCTTCAAGTCAATAACATAATTAAATAGTTAAGATAATTCACTTGCTACCACTTTACATTGTGGCACTAATTACACCATGATGACAAATTAATTGAGGGGCCCCTTGCTATCTTTGCACAGTTGCCTGGATTTATACATTATCTCACAGAGCTTGTTCCAAGTGACCAGCTTTTTGCTGTTGAGCCCTTGTCTTGCAAGGCCTAATATGAACAAATGTATGCGTAATTTGCCAATGTAACTCTGTTGACGCGATTGTGTAATTTGGTGTAACTGCATAGAAATGGCAATATAGCTTCTGCCCAATTACATAAAGGTTGCTGGGTACTCAGTGTTTTTTGTGTAAAATGTAATTGATTCCTAATTTGGGAGATAGGCTACAATCCAAAGTTTCATTAGGGTAGCATAAAAAGAGACCAATTCAGCAGCATGAATCTGCATTTGCATTTTACTGAAGCACCCAGTCACCTGAAAAAAACATGATTTCTCAGAGGAAGAGGATGGAATAGTACCTAAGCTCTGCATGGCATTTGTATAAAGATACCAACAATTTTATTAATAATAATAATTACATTTCTATACCACCCTTCATCTGAGGATCACAAGGCAGTTTCTTCTTCTTCTTCTTTGGCGATCACTCGTAGCTGAGTAAGATTGTCTTCCATAAACACGGTTTTAACAATGAGTCCATAAGTGACTGTGGAGGCCAATTCTCGATTCACACGTCCTTCCACACTGGGGACATTGGTTCCCGGGCGGGAGTTGACCATGGTGTGGATTTGCCAAGCGTGCCTTCCTCTTAGCAAGTTTCTCCCTTGCGTCCTGAGTTTGAGTGTCTTCAAAGCCCATGACACCTTTGGTAAAGGCTGTTCTCCAACTGGAGGGCTCGCAGGCCAGTGTTTCCCAGTTGTTGGTGTTTATACTACATTTTTTTAGATTTGCCTTGAGACAGTCTTTTAACAAGGCAGTTTACAATATAAGGACACAAAAAGACTACAATAATAGCAAATAAAAACAAAACCCCGCCCCCAGTATCATTATATTTTGTGGGTGTTTCTGTCATGAGACAAAGGTTCTTAAGAACAGAAGCAATAAGGCAGTGCAGCCTACAAGGAGTTATCTGATTCCCAAGCTGTCAGAAGGAATTCCTGTATAGGGAAGTTTTTTTAAAAAAAATGTTTAATGTTTTATTGTTTTTTACATATGTTGGAAGCTGCCCAGAGTGACTGGGGCAAATCAGTAAGATGTGTGGGGTATAAATAGTAAAATCATCATTATGGAATGGGACGTCCCTATTTTCATCGGATAAATGTTTTTTCATCGGAGGGTATGTGATTTCTATACTTCTTAGAGCTTTCATTTACAATTAGGCAGTATTCAGATAAATATATATATATATTAAATATATATATATTTATATATATATTATATTTAAATATTAAATATATATATATATATATTTAATATTTAAATATATATATATATATTTAAAATATTATCATTATCCCCATTCTGATACTGTCATGCTGCTGCAGCCCAATTCTCCGCCTTCTGCTGACTCAGCATCCTGCCGTCTCTTTTCTCCTGCCATTGTGTGACAGACAAGAACTGGTGAGTGAGCTCCAAACAGCACAGCAGGGAGACTGCTTGCTTAAGGTCCACAGGGATTTTGTAGCAATAGTAAGTAAAAATAGCTTTCTTAAATGCAACACTTCCTACTACTTTACCTTAGGCTTTAGCAAAGAAGGGATGTCAGGTGTCACAACAGTGGATGGGAAGAAGATGAAAGAAGGCACTGGGTTTTATTTTATTTTTTAAAGTCCACTTGAAAAGCAGCTTTCAGTGAGTAGATAAAATCCATGCTTTTTAATAAACCAATTGCAAATAACGTGGCGCTATATTATTAAGAGAAAGTATATCATACCCTATTATCCGATGGGTGCTTTTTTAGAAACCTAAACACTTAGAGTGAAATCCACTTAAAATGCAATCAGCTCAGCCCTAAAAAAAAGAAGAAGCCAGAATTGCTTCCTAAATACCTTCCAAATAAAGGTAGTTGCCAGCCTTCACTGGCCTATAGAAAGCCAAGCCATGAGACCATGCAAATGTGAAGGCTCTGGGATAGTTCCTCACAGCCACTTTGCTCCTCCATTTTACCTCTGCATCTCACTGAGCTAAGCATTTCACTGCATCTCACGGCCAAGGACTCATAGTTAAGCTGTCTCTCCTCAATAGTCACAAGCTCCAGCCAAGGTTTGTTCTTGGCTACAGCTCAAGTCCCAGTTTGGATGACAAGCAAAGCCTAACTTTGGCTTAGCTCAGTTCAGTGAGGGAGTGCAAAAAGTTTGGCTCGCCATGTCGTCTGAACCAGGCGTGTATGTCGCTTCATGTTTAGCTTCATGTTTCAATGACCCTGCACATGTATAGATAGATTACCCTCATATTGACCACCATGGCTGTCAAAATGTATGATCTCCCCCATTTTCCTTCTGTCATTCTGCAGTTCAAACTCCACTTATCTGCAAACAGGAATATCAGAGATTTCCACCGAAAACACAAGCAGAAATTGCCAATATTCGCTTATTAATTTCATAGCTCAGTCGGTAGAGCATGAGACTCTTGATCTCAGGGTCACGGGTTGAAGCCACACGGTGGTCAAAAATATTCCTGCATTGCATGCAGCTGGACTAGATGATCCCTGTGGTCCGTTCTAAACTGTACAGTTCTAGTGTGGTGTAGTGGTTAAGAGCCAGTGTGGTGCAGTGGTTAAGAGCGGTAGTCTCGTAATCTGGGGGACCGGGTTCGCGTCTCCGCTCCTCCACATGCAGCTGCTGGGTGACCTTGGGCCAGTCACACTTCTTTGAAGTCTCTCAGCCTCACTCACCTCACAGAGTGTTTGTTGTGGGGGAGGAAGGGAAAGGAGAATGTTAGCCGCTTTGAGACTCCTTAAAGGGAGTGAAAGGCGGGATATCAAATCCAAACTCTTCTTCTTCTTCTTCTATGTACAGGACAAAAATCAACTCAGTGAATATGATATGTATTTACTGTTTCTTTCAGTCCATAAACAATACATAACGGACTATGTTATCCCCACCCCAACCCACACATTTACACTATGTTTGCTTTGCATTTCAGTGAGCGTGGTGGAATAGCAATGAAACTTACGTAATTTATATAACAAATAACTTAGTTATGATGCAAGATGAATAATGTAACTTTTGGTGGAAGGCACAGTGCTTTGGAACAGAAACAGCACTGTGTGTGAGGAATACAGGGCAGACTAAAAACTGATTCATTCTTACATCCCTACTTGGGAGTAAGTCCCATTGAATCCAATAGAATTTATGGATGAGTAGACATGGTTAGGATTGCATGTAAATTATGACTGCATTTTTGGTCTCTTTTATTGAACACTATGGCTCTGTAACAGGGACGCGGGTGGCGCTGTGGGTAAAACCTCAGTGCCTAGGGCTTGCCGATCGCATGGTCGGCGGTTCGAATTCTCATGGCGGGGTGAGCTCCTGTCTTTTGGTCCCAGCTCCTGCCCACCTAGCAGTTCGAAAGCACCCCTAAATGCAAGTAGATAAATAGGTACCGCTTTATAGCGGGAAGGTAAATGGCGTTTCCGTGTGCTGTGCTGGTGATGGCTCGCCAGAGCAGCTTTGTCACGCTGGCCATGTGACCCGGAAGTGTCTCCGGACAGCGCTGGCCCCAGGCCTCTTAAGTGAGATGGGCGCACAACCCTAGAGTCGGACACAACTGGCCTGTACGGGCAGGGGTACCTTTACCTTTACCTTTATGGCTCTGTAACAGTGTTCTTGTTTTATCCAGTGGTTTTGGATATCTTCCATATCACAGTGAGCTTAGTAGCAGCCAAGACAATATTTAGGCATGAAACTGAAAAGCAGATCCTACTTGAAAATGTGTTACAGGTCAAGTGTGTTACAGACTCATCTTTTCACACTTCACAATTCTACATTGTGAAGAACTTTTCGAGTCTGATTTGACTCTAATGAGACTTTTCTACTCTGCTGGCGGTTCTTCCACTACTCTGGTTTTTCTCTCTGGCTGGCAACTGAAAAGCCCTCTCTCAAAGCCTTCACACCTGCTCTACATGCTGTACTATCTTTATGTTCGATAAGGCAAGAGATGTACGCCATGCTCAGCAGCCACTTAAAGCACTCTGCCAATTCAGCCTCTTTGATAGAGGAAACTGGAAGGATTTTGTGTAGCTCTCAGTAAGTCTGCGAGTTTGGCAGCACTCATGCAATATTGAGAATGTATAGGAGAGACATGACTACTGTTGTAGATAACAATCTCTACAATCCGCTTCCTAGGATATGGTGTGTGTCAGTATTTACTAAGGATGGGTTAACTATATGGTGAACACAAATTCCACTCATCATCATTATTGTTTATTTGCTATGTTGTCTTTCCGTAATAAACCATGCAGCTCACAACATGGAAAAGTTTACATAATTAACTAACACCTATAAGACACAGCATAATTTATTTAGTTAGAAACAATAAACTAACAAACACATCTCACATAAATATACAAAAAAATAAAGCAGGCCACTGATAATTCAAAATAACAATAAAAACACATTGTGATGATTTTAAAATAAATTGCACTCTACCCATTTCATCCCCCCTGTAAATTTAAGAAAGTTCAATATCCCTAGATTCAGAAACCCAAGTGGCCTGCTTGAAAAATGGCTGTCATGATCAGAGAAGACCAAATTTGAGCTTATTTTGATCAGCATTGAAAATGCTTCATCAGACTGAAATGTCATACTTCAGCAAGGGCATATTTCCACCACAAAAGCTTTCAAAGCTTTCCAAATCCACCCATTCAAAACTTAATATGCTCACCATTTTTGTTGATCATGTTTACATCCATGCCAGCAATGGATGGCCTGGCTGAATGCATCTCTGGCACGCTAATGTTACAAGTGAATGGGCCAGTGTATATGGTAAATGCATTTAAATGCAACTGGGCATGCATAGAAAGCTTACACAGGTATGGGCTTTCCTTGTGATCCACATCCTGTATAGACCAGGCAGGTCCCCAGAAAATGGGGGGAAATCCTCTCTGGAATAGACTCAACATGCATTACAGCTGCCTATTCTATGCACACATACCTAGGAGTAAGGTCCAGTGAATCCAGTATGACCTACTTCTGAGTAAACATGCATAGGACTGCACTGTTTTTGAATTTTTTTTTGAAAAAATTATCTATTTTATGTAAAGAAAAACTGCCAAAACTGTTTTATTAACATTATTTTTTCCCCTTATTTTAATAACGTTGGAGTGGCTTTCCTTCCCCAAGAGTACTTAACAGAAGATTGAATAGCACTGCTCTTCCTCTGGCACTTCAAAAAGAATCTGAGACAAAATAGCATAAGTAACCACTTTCCTTTGACTGTTCTGGGTCCTCCCCCCGCTCTTTTTTTGCCTCCCCCCCCCCAAGAATTCAATATTGTTATCCTTCATCGTGTTCCAGTGGTGCTGAATGTCAACGAGGCTGTATTTGGCACGCAATCAGCAAATAATTTCCAGGTAATTAATTTGTGTTCCATACATTCGATTTGGATTTTGTGTGGGTAATTTGCAGGTCAGGTAACTCATCAGAATCATGTCTTTTTATGGAGGATGCAGGAGTACACGGCTGACAGTAATTTTTAATCTGGCTTCCCTCTCTTTCCTGACATTAGTTTTTCATTGCTATTAGTGCATCACATACAATTACCAACAGCTTCAGGATATAATTATATCATCATTTAGTTCATTTGTAGTAGGGGAGAAATGAACAAAGCAGTGAAATAAATATGTAATGACTATTGGCATTGGATGGCTTTTCCTTTTTAAAAACACCTTCATCAATATTTTGCAATGTTTGAGAGGAGCAGTTCCTGCTACCAAGAACTGTCATTGTGTTTATATAATTTGATGACAACAGAAAAAAGCAGAAGGGTAAGAGAAATGAGCCTCAGATGTTAAGGAAAACCCTTGTTTTTCATCGCAGTCGTGACACTTTCTCCATGCAAGCCAAGACTCTTTAACCTTCACCTGAAGGTTATGAAAGTATGGCTCTTTCAGAGGTCTCCCTATTTGCACTTTGCGGGATATTCCACACAGCAGTTTATTGTGAACTTGGAATGGTGATGCTTGTGACTTTGTGCAGCATCCACACGATGATGTCCTCAGCAAAATACTGAGGAAGGGACATAGCTCAGTGGTAGAGCATTGAGCTTTTCATGTAGAAGGTCCCAAGCTCAATGCCTGACTGGGGAAAATCCACAGAGAAGCACTGCTAGTTACTGTAGACAGCACTGAACTAGAAAGACCAGTGGTCTGACTTGGTAGAAGGGAGCTTCCTACGTATGTCCCTGTTTCCCCATCTGATCTTTATATAATGAAATAATGAATAAAACAGCCAGATCCAGAGTGCGGGGCTAATCACACTCCCCAGCAAGAAAGAGCCCCAGCAGAATATTAAAATCACAGAACAAAAACACCAAAATTAAAACGTATATGTGCAAAAGAATCAAACCAATGTCATATATAAAAACGATTTCAAAACTGGCACAGATGCGCACTGAGATAAAAGTCTCAGGCTTGTTGAAAAAGGAAGGACTTCAAAATATGTCCAAAAGATAATAGACAGTGTCTGTCTGATCTGTAATGAGAGGGTCGGTCCCACTACACGCTAGGCCCAATTCCTGCGCCAGAGCAGCAGACCTCCTGATGAGATGCTATCTGCAGGAGGCCCTCTCCTGCAAAACACAGTGTTCAGTTGGGTGTAGAAGCAGGGGTGAGTTGATCCTGGTTCTAAACGGTATACTTCTACACCAGTACCAGCAAGATGAACTTAGCCTTGCAGCTAGTTGGTACTTCAGTTCATCATAAACAGTACCTGATGTGTATTGTAGGTTATGTGGGTTGTTGAAGGCAACAGGCATGCATGATGGCAGTGAAAAATTGTTTCAGGCAATGGTCTTTCCTAGGACTGTTGAAATTCATGTGATTGAACCAGGAACTTTTTGCATGCAATACATGTACTCTACCTCTCACCTTTGACTCGTCTCCTTCATTTATCAAAAGGGGGGGGGGGAACCTCAGTGGAATCACCATAGGCAGAATTTCAACATCACCAGACATCCCCACAAACACAATAATCTTCCAAGGTGGCAATTCACAATTGCAATATGGGGATAAGATCGCTGGCCTAACACTTACGGAATTATTGAGAAAATGCACACAAGACACTGTGAATTATGTTATAAATATGCTAACTCCAGCTCAGTTTATATGTGAATCAAGCCTTCAGTATCCTGTGATTGGTGGCAGGTTGATTAAAGAGTATTGACAGGTAACTAATCCACATGAAGTGGCATCAATTATTTTCCTGTGTGCTTTTCAGAGGGCGTGGGGAGTCCATGTCGGATCTCAAAAGTCAGCATCGTAAGGGAACAGAGAGGTTTGTCACCCTGGGATCTGAAATTGTCAGCCCTGGTGTGGATTTATGACCTAGTATAGTAATCCCTCATGATTATCTGTCCTGTTGTTCTCCATTACTGCATCTTTGAAGAGGCTATCGTGCTGCCTGCTCTCTGTGTCATGCTTAGCTGAAGTATAATTGACTAGAAGCCCACCT